AGAGGTACGACCAACGGGAGTCGCTCGAAGGGGTACGACCAACGGGAGTCGCTCGAAGAGGGGAGTTGCTCGAAGAGGGACAAGGGCGGTCTTGCTTGGCGCGAAGGCTGCTGGTTCGGGGGTAGAGTACAGTACTAAAGGTCCTCGGACTTCCAGGCGGTTTTTCTTTTGGGAAGCTGTTCACCGTTGGATCTCGCCAATACAGCCCCCTATAGTTTTCGTTACCGAGATATCTTTTTTTTTATTGTTCCCAGGGATTTTTTGGGGAATCTGCTCCCATGCTGCAAACAGTAAAATCTGAACCTTGTCGCTCTTCTTTCTTTCCTCGCGAGCAGGAAGCACACCAGCAGCGTGCGTTGCGTGATTCTACTGTGTTTTTTGCACTTGACTGGGTGGACAGTTGACCGGAAGATAACTTAGATTCGCCCGGCCAGCAGGCGGGCGGCGTGCTTATCTTGTGTGACAACACTACAGAGCGAGTGGCTCTTCTAGGCGGGCAGCTGTGTGACAACACTACAGAGAAAGCGGCGCTTTCGTGTAACATGCTATGGTCTCAACGCCCTTACGAGGTAGTGATGAGTTTCACGCGCTCTAAGCCCGGCCCGCGCGCGGTTAGGAAGATTGGCCGCAATCTGAAAAGATCGTTTCGGTACCACCCACCCTACCCTACCACCTATAGGCGGCCGTCCATCCTACAGCCGCCCGAAAAGGAACTGCAGTGATCTTGAATAGGAATCCTACAGCGATAAATAGAATCCCCATAAAAATACCACTAGATCGAGCACCAGTGATTTCGTATCCGGTCAAAATCTTGGCTAATTGATCGAAGTGGGTAGCTCCAGTAGACCCATAGATCATGGAACAAATAGGGTGGGTAGGCCAGACGCGAACCCCCCTCGTTACCGTACGTGCGACTCTCACCGCATACGGCTCGCACAAAGACTCCTAAATCCATCCCGAATGAGTGTAACTATGTTACCTATGTACAGAGAACAGAGATTCGTTTCACTATGTTACACTCATTTAGTTCAACGAACAACGAACAACGAATTTCGTTGAACATAGTTCAACTCATTTGAAACGAATCTTCTTATCTTAGGTCTTTCCTTTGGAAGATAGAGAAAAGCGGATGGTCCTGTTAACGAGTAAGTAAAGGGGAAATCTTTCAACAAATGAAGCGAATTCTGAGTCGGGTTGTGAGGGTCCAGAAAGTGAAGCAAATGAGGACACGGCTTAAGGGATTGGATCTACTATTTGATTTTGAGGTCCACCGACCGTCGGGTTCCAACCTACGTCTCCCAGCGAAAGAAGCATCTGGCTTTCTTCTTTCTGGTACTGGTCAAGCCAAATTCCATTCCAATCTGGGTATTCTCTTATTGGTAAAGCTCATTTTAGGGTTTATGGTAAAGCATATACGGCTGGAACTGGAAGAAAACCTTTCGCTTGAGTCGAGACTTGCCTCTTAGCTACTTAAAAGTAGTGGCAAGAAGTTATTTTTAAAAAAAAGGGTTTCCCAGCGTTGACCTACATTCAGAAAGCCTCAGCAAGAGCGGGATAAGGACAGGAACATTCTACTAATTTTCTACCATTTCTTCGGTTTCCGCTGCAGATGGATCAGCCGTTTCAATGGTCTCTTTAGTCGTAGTCGCAATTGATGCCATAGCTAGTCCAACCTAAGGCAGAAAGAAAGAGTCTTGCACATTACTATCTATACTATCTATGGTCGCCATATCCTTTCTCTCGGTGAGAGTTCCCATTTCTTCACGATAGACATTCTCATCCTTTCTTTCGTAATCACAAGGAAATGAAATGGTTCCAGTTCCGGTTATGGAAGGGCATAAGGATAGAAGTTAGTCGAGTGAAAGGAGGTACGAAGTCACTAGAGAATTCGTTTCACTATGTGAAACTCATTTCGTTTCAAACGTTGAACTATGTTCAACTCATTCGAAGAGGAAATCTAAGTTGCCCAGCTCATATGTTACAGGAACGAATTGTTTAGAGCCGATCTGCCGCCTCACCATGCTTGGTGCATAGCTAATTGTTCCCCACAAAAGCGAGTCTTGTTAGCAGGTAAAAGCAAGCATCTCGAGTCGATAGCCCGGAGGAGAAGAATCTAACTATTGCCTTGAAAGGCTCCTTACCTTACCTGGCTGGTGTCTGGTTGCTCCAGGTCCTAAGGAATGAGATTAGCTTGATTACGCATTTGAGTTACTGATAGTTACTGAAAGCGCTGATGAACGATCTTCCTTATTTTACTTACAACTCGGATTCCTCCTTCAGGATAGCTTCAAGCTTAAGGGCTCTCGGAATTCCCTTTCAAGCTTTCTCGAGTCACCCTAACGTAACGGCTAAGAGAACCATCCTTCTTGTGAGAGTTTCATATGTTGCTAATGAATATAGGGTATGGTAATCAAGTATAGTCCGAGTAGGTCGAGCATGAGTTATTCTAATCTAGGAGAATAATTTTATGAGATTAGAGGTCTACTTACCCTTCTCACTCTATCTTTAGATCCCTACATGGTTTTGCGATAGCCAGCAGAGTGAATAGGTAAAGTACCACAGAGAACAGAGATTCGTTGAACATAGTTCAACTCATTTCGTTTCAAACGTTGAACTATGTTCAAC